GCCTATAAGTGTAGCTAGGATGATCAGGACAACTCAGTTGTCTTGACATCCATTCACAGTGATTGATGATATGTGTAGCCAATTTCCATTCCAAGTTTAGAAAAGAGAAATAAAGGAAGAAATGGAGGTGGTGGTGGTGGTGGTGTGCTATTTAGCATTTTGGAGTGGTGAAGTGGATGGGTGGTTAATTAATGTCCATATATAGTCTGGGAGAGAGAGGGAGAGAGAGAAAATCCAGCACAAGAATTATGGAACAACGTAGCCGCCATAGTCATAGATAGCCTTTATCTTTAATGGACTTTGATGTGTAAACTTGTGATATTTTTGTTTATCTCGAGATTCGTTCATCTTCTTCCTTGGACCATTGGATGTCTGTGTCATGTTTACAGATATACTTTGACTATAGAGCAGAATATTGATTAGGTCAAGCAGGGATAGCTAGCTAGAGGTGGGGAACCGGCCAGGGATGCCATGATCATCATCATGGATTTGGGGGCATTTTGATTGTGAGAGGTTAATTAGAATGGGGAATCAGTTCAGGTAAAACAGAGGTGTTCAAATTGAATTGTTTTGGGTATAGGTAAGATCCAAATGGATACTTCATATCCTAAGTGTTTTAAGTAATTCTGTGGAATTTCCAAGGAAAAGTTCTTAGCCAATTTTGTGAAATTTCTTAATAACATTGCCTCAACTTTATACTTCTCTCTCTCTCTCTCATTTTCTATCAAACCAAAGACAGCCTAAAGGAAATTTAGTTTGTTCTTAACCTCAAAACAGATCAACTGTGAATAAATCAAGGTTATTTTGGTTTCTTCTGAAGATGGATGCACATAAGTAGTGTTGTTTCTTCTATTATGTTTAACAATGTTTCAATGAGATTGTCGACGTGAAGTTGACTGACAAATGAGCCCATTTTAGTTTGTTCTTGACCTCAGACCAATACATGTCAGCTGTGAATAAATAAAGGTTATCTTGGTTTCTTCTGAAGATGGATGCATCATTTTTTTTCATGGATTTCAAGGTTAAGTGCATTACAATTACCATTTGATGATGTGCTTGTTGTTGATGGTTGGAAATGACAGGTGCTGGAATGTAGAACAGGATCTAGAGCTTGGGGCGCATAACCATCGGAATATGCCGTTAGTATTCTTTTATATGGAAAATACTACATCAATTTCTTTTGGGTGGTTTGGATAACGGTTTATGTGGTTTCAGAATTTTTGTTCTCTGATTGCAGTTGTTCATCCATCCTCTTGATGGTACTTGCTCAAATGGAGATGGAATTTTTTTGGTTGATACAGTAATTTCTTTGATCAGATGCTGTAATTTCTTTGAAAAGAATGTTGATTAGATACAGTAATTTCTACCTGGAATATATGGTCGATACAGTAATTATTTATTTTTTATATTTTTGTGATAAAATTTAATATTTCTATAACATTTTCACATTTTCTGGGTTTTCAAGTATTTTTTGAATATTCATTTAGTTTGGACCGGATTGGATCCAATCCAATTTGTATAGGTTTGGATTGGATTTGGTCCAGTCCATTTGTAAATGGACCAATGTTGGATCGGATTGGACTGGACCAAATCCAGTCTGATTGACACCCCTACCTGTAGTCAAGATACCCTACACCATTCTTACCTCATCTCCAGTGACAAGGTAGGTTCAAGGCAAGGCACCCATTCTCCACCGGAATGGGGAATCCCTGAATTTTTCCTACCCTAAGATAACCACCTAAAGATACATCTAATTTTGGGTATTTTAGAAATAGGATTATGGGAATTTAGGAATATTTTAGAAATGGAATTATGGGATCATAGAATTTTAGAAATTTGAGGAAAATTCAATGGTATATTAGAAATTAATGTTAAACCAAAGAGCATTTTACTAATTTCCTATCAGGTTTGAGGAATTAAATGCAAATTTCTATCCCCATCCCATCCCTGTTTAAGATCAAGGAAAACCCACCCCATTCAGAGAAGAGCTACAGTTTTATAAGAAAAATTACCATCCCTAAGCAGAGTCAAGAGTGTGGCCCCAAGTTCTTTTAGCAAAACCCTATCTAATTCTTTGTACCGCACCCAGCCCACTGGACTTATTCTGTATGGCTCTCATTGACCAATGGATCAGTCACTTTTCTTGTCTTTAGAAAGGATTGTCAACATGTTGGGTTTCGTACGTGTTTGGTCAAAAGCCTAAACTCAATCGGATGAATTCAAATCAGCCCCCACAACGTCTCAAGCATATCTCGCCGTATATTAAGAACATCTTCCGATGATGATATCACCATTTCTGATATTATCATCAAGAGATATTTTCAATACATAGTATGGACATGCTGTGAAACGTTGTAGGGGGGCAATATTGTGGGGGGCTGATTTGATCTCCAACCGGATCCATCCTACAATTAATGTACTTTAGTGTCAACGGGCTGAATCTGGTATATGGGGCGGGGCACAACCCATTAACGGGTTGAATCTGACAGTACTGATCTCAATAATTAAAAAAAAAAATCATTTGGTTGAGTAGTGTTTTCCGCCCTACGAACATTAGCCGTATATCATTGGTTGCATAATTAACTTCATATAATGGAAAGCAATTATTGATTGCATTTTGAATTAATAGGACAATGTTCACTTGTTCTTGCTGAATATTATTTATTTGTTTATTTATTTATTCATATAAGATTGTGTTTGGTTCCAGTACAATGAAATTTGCACAAGTGTTAATGTATGAAGTGTAAATTTGCACAGGTGTAAATGTATAAAGTGTAAATAGACGGAGTGTATTGGGGGTGGAACGGAGGGCCTTAGGGGGCAGTTATGGGCATGGTTTTTAAAACCGGACTTGACTAGACGGTCAGACCAAAAAAACTGGGAACCGTTCACATGACTGGTTCCGCTTTCCCCCAAAACCGTTGATTTTGGTCAGCAAACCGCTGAACCGGCTGGTTAATCGTTCGAACTGTTCAAACAGTTTTGATTATTTTCTAATTTTTAAATTTTTTTTTGTCAGAACGGGCCAATCGTTCGGGTCGAATGGTCGGACCATTTGAACCGATAACCGGACCCCTGACCGGTTCGGTCACCAGTTCATTTTTAAAAACCATGGTTATGGGTACAATTAGAGGTGTAAAATAGGCCGAAGCGGCCTTGCACTGCACAACCCTCAGGGCCAAGCTGGGCCAAGGGTTTATGGTCGAGGAGCCGGGCCATGTATATATAAATATACATATAGGTATATAATTCTTTTCAATTTTATTGTATACTATTTTATTCCAATTTTCTTGTAATTTTTTCAATTTCATTTTTTATTTCATACATAAATAATTGCATACATCAAAATACATATGGAATAAAATTTTAAGATTTTATTAATTTGTTGTCTATCTTATTAATTTATTTTAACTTTTCATTATCTTTTTTTTCAATTTTTCTTAAAAAGATCATCCTAGCCCACTACCTATTGGACCTGGGCCTTGGGCCTTGCCATATTTCCCACTTGGGGAATTCCTACCATCCAACACGACCACCAACCCTAGAGGTGTAAAGTGGGTCGTGTCGGGTTGGCACGGCAACATGCTACCCTCCCCGGTGAAAATTTTGGGGGTCGGCCTAGCACGGCCTACGGCCCAGGCCCATGCCGTCCCTTGTCATGCCATGGGTCGGGCTGGCCTGTTGCCGAGCCTTGGGCCAGGTCGGGCCAAAGCAATTTATTTAAAAAAAAATGACAAAAACTTAAAAATTTTATATGAATTTTGTGTATATAATTGCTTATATATACAATAATTAAATAAATTAGTATAATAAAATTTAAAAAATTATTTTATTAATATATTATATACTATAAAATTAGTATAATTATATACATGTCGGCCCGTGGACCTAAAACACCAGGCCCAACAGGCACAGACCATCGTGTCGGGCCTAGCACGGCCCCTGGGCTATTATGTCGTGCAATGCCAGGCCGGTCCAAATTCTACTCCTCACACAACACGCCTCACACAGATTTCACAGCATGTCCAGGCCACACATTGGGAACATCTCCTGTACTTGTATTTATTATTTATGGGGAGATGTTCCCAATACAGGGTGGGATGTGGCTGTGAGGTCGGTGTGAGGCGCTAGTAGATTCCAATTCCGTGAAGGCACAGCATGATCCGCTACAATGCCGTCAGCTTGCAAAAGTGGTTACTCCTCTAGGTATATGGAGGACGTGTGTGTAGGTGTAGCCCATTGAAGAATATTCAAAACATGCAAAATTTATATCTGCTTCAAATTTGCACCACCAAATGCAGCCTAAATTCCATAACAGATACAACTTTTAGATGTGCAGAGGTACGTAAATTCAGTTTCAGTGAATGCACTAGTACAAATGCATGGGAATGCAATTCTAACGTATTTGTACTCCAACATTCATTGTACTTTCTCAGATTTTGTTTTACTTCATTTGCGCTGCAAACAAAAAAAAAAAAAAAAGATGAAAGAAGAACAAATCAGAATTTGCACTTGAACTCCCATATATACTTTTGCAATGAAATTTCACTGAAAACAAACCAAACCTTAATCATGTCGTCCATGACTAATGCAAACAGAACAGGGTTTGCAGGTCCAATATGAACTTAAATACCAGGTTGAGAGTTGAGGTGGTATTGGAGATATAGCTAAAAAAATACAGTCCAGCATGATTAATGCAATGCAATTAATTAATCTGTGCAATATAAACAACATTTGTTGTATAGAATTTGCAGATTACCACAACTATATATACTCAATAAAATTTATAATTAATACAAATCTATATATTTACTCTCTTGAGTGATTCCCTCAGTTTTGAACCCACTAAAAAATTATAAATTATTAACTAAACCTGTTAACCAGAAGCTTATTCATTCCTATATATGCAACGTAATAAAGAACCACTAAACGTAGTAAGAATTAAAGAGAGACTGACTATTGTATATCTACAGAACTAATTAAGTATCAACTCGATCCGTTCATCCATTCAAGAATGCATCAACCTTGGCATTTGCAGACGCTGGCAGGAACTTCATGCAGAGGGGAGGGTTGACGTTGGCGAGAGAGAGGATAGCAGCCGGAATGCCCCACAGAGAGTCGCCACAGATCATGCCGGAGGCCACAGCAGGCGCTAACGCATCTGCCCCCGCCTTGTTCTTCCATCGCCACAGGTAGAGAATCAAGCTCCCAATGCACATGTCAATGGCAAAGTAGCCACCCAGATAGAAGGGGATGGCCATGCACATTGCCCTCGGGACAAACCTGTGAAGCCTCCATTTCTTGTCATACTTCTCCAGGAGCAAAGTGACAATGTTCAAGGCAATCGCAATGCAGAAGAATCCAACTGATAGCTCCACACAGTGCCTGGGGAGGGAGGAGGTTCCTTCAACTCCGAGAATGGCGATTCCACGGTACATTAGCCCATAGGGTGCTGGGAACGAGCCGTCCACCTCGCCCAGTGTGGGGTAGGATTTGTAGTAAAACCAGAAGACAGCAGGCGCGATGAGGCAGCCCAGAGCCGTGCCCATGACTTGGCTACAGAACATTGCGCGAGGAGACGCAAGCGTCAAGTAGCCAGTCTTGAAATCCTGCATGAGATCGGAGGCCGTGGACACAATGCTCATCATCACGCCACAGGCGACGAGGCCTGCAACTATGCCGCCCCCATGGAGGCCGACCCAGGAGCCAATGATGAATATTGCAATCTTGCCGTAGGTGGATGCCAGAGACCAGTCTGTAAGGCCACACCCATACGAGTTGCAGAAGGCCAAGATCGGGGCGATGATGTAGGAAACCAGTATGTGGTACCATTTGATCTGGTGAAAGATTTGGGGCACTGCAACAATGGAGATCGCAGACAAGGAAACATATCCCAAGCCTGCCACCCACATGGGAATCTGGTCTTTCAGGAACATGTCTTTTCTTCGTTGGTCATCGTAGCTCTCCTCGCGATCATGAGTGCTGTCTGAGGATGGCTGATCACCAGCAATGGCGACAACTGAAGACGAATCTCTTTTCTTATACTGCCTCATGAGGCTCCATCCGGTTGTGATCAGCATACAAACGACATGGAAGAGTCCGTCCCCTAGTATCATAGCAATAGAAATGAAGACTCTGTATCCTTGGATCCCACGAAGGCTACTCCCAGAGATATCAGCGGCATACCAAATGCCTTTCTTTTGCTCGATCAGCGGCCACATTATTAGCCATGACAAGATAGCTCCAACGAGCAAAGATACGTTCACAATGTAAGGGCAGATCATTCCAACACCTACATAGGTAGCTGAGAAATCGAAGTACAACCTATAGAACAAGGAGAATGTTAGTGAGAATGGCGCTTCATTAATTACAGTAGACCAGCAACAACTTCAATAGACCATAGTATGATTTACCCAGAAACAGATGTTAAGTGACCGAATTAACTAATGTTTTAGATTTCTGATCACATTGGATATCGGTTGAAGAACAGCATAACCTAGACCTGAATAGGCCGAGCTTATTGCCACCATTACTATTATTGGAAATGAGCAATGCTGCTAAAAACTTGAGCTAAAAGTCATTATTAATTAATTAGCCATATGGTTTCTGAAGTGCATTTGCAGATGAAGTAGATTGCTTTCCCAAATTATCACTCAGGACACATTAAATGGTGGGTCCTGATCATCTAATGAATTTTGTAATACTTCAACCATAAACTCTCCATTTCAGCTCGAGTTTTAATTGATCCAACATTAATTATAGGAACTTCTGAACTGCATAGCATACTGACCTCTTATTAAAAGCTTGGAGACCAAATGTAGGGAAACTGCTAAAACCACAGCCATCACTACTAGTGAAGAACCACTGGAAGAAAGCCCACAAGAAGCTCATGGAGAACCATTCAAAGAGTTTATTCACTTGTTTCCTGAGTTCAAAAAGAAAAGTTCATTAACTGCTTTAGGAGGTTAAACTAGCTGTTGATGGAGCAGAAAATGGGGCATCAATTAGAAAAGCAGTTCATGAAGGAATGAGGATGACAACTTACTTAGCTAGCTTAGCTCCCTTAGAAGTGTGGAAGCTGTTGATGAGGAATGCGGTTGCAGTTCCACTTGGGTAGGTCAACTTGTAGTCAATTATCATAATCTGAGAAAAGAAAGAAAACCATAAGCTAACAAATGAAACAATTGATTGGGTTAATTACAAGCATGAGAATCATTATCTAACTGCAGATAACTCTTTTAATTACTAGAGACACGCATGTTTGAGCTTAGGTTGGTTTGAAGTATCACCTTGCGTAGCGGAACAATGGAGAAAAGACCAACAAAGCTCACGGCAAAAACAAACCCATACATCCATCCCAAGGAAAGAGGCTTCATGTTGTTCACTGTGTTCCCATCTTCTGCCTGAGATGCAATCTTGGGCATCATTCCTAATATGTAACTTCCATATCCACCTGATATTCACCCACAAACAACCATTAATGAATTACCAATAATAATTATAACAAGTATAATCTAGTTCTTTTTTTTTTCATTAGTTTTCCTTATTTCTAAAGTTATGTCCACTAAATCCTAAATCTCATAGGAAGAAGAATTCTATTTATAATCTTCCCTCTGTTATTAGTAAAGAAACATTGGTATTTACAACCACTTTGTCTAAAATCCAAATTAATAAATGATTAATTAAAAAATTAAGCATTTATAAACTTTTAATAAAGCATAAAAAACAAAAATAAAGAAAAAGAAAACATTACATCATCTTTGGTAAAATTCTCCCAACAATCAATTTACTATAGAAAAGTTATTACAGATGTCTATAAGAACTATAGAAGCTCTTAACAAATAGGATAGAAACAGAAAGTTAAAGGGAACTTCTTAACAAATTTTATTAAAATCCTTAACAATCAATTTTCTGTTTCACTCTTATTATCTATCAAACCAAACACAGCTTAAAGGCACACGATTTCCCACATCTCCACATATATGATGTGATAGATTTCAAACGACGAGAAATCAGGAAAGAACAGTTTTAATGCAGTGTATTAAAATTCTCAGTATGACCAAAATACTCCCTACAGCCAGGAGGATAGAGAGAGAGAGAGAGAGAGAGAGAGAGAGGAAGGAAATAAACAACAAAAGTTTCCAAAAACAAATCCAAAACAACAAAAGTTCAACTATAAAAACCCCTTTAATCTTTTGGTAATCAGAAAACAGGAGATTCAAAGCGTCGGCGGTGGGAATACATACTGCTAAAAGCAATGCCGGAAGCGGCAACAACGGCGGTCTGAATGACGGTGTTCTCTTGCCTGCTGAAGGGTTGCTTCAACAAACCAAACTTCTGGAGCGCAAACGAGTAGACTCGAATGAAGAAGAAACCCAAGAGGCCGGCGGCGACGTTCAACGACGGTATGATCCCGGTAGTCAAACTAAGCTTCATCACTATAAAACAGAAAGCAACACTCAGAACAGCGCTCGCCAGGAAAGCCCTGAACGTTAACTGTTCCTTCCACGACGGAACGATCTCATTCTCGAATGCCTTTTCGGTCGATGCTTCTTTTGACGACGAGTTGTCATTCTCGACGACCGCCTTCTTCTCTATTTCCAACCCCGACCTCTCCCTTCTTTCCCACTCTTCTTCTATTCCTCCACTCCTAGACATGGTTTCTTCACTTCTCTGTCTGTCTGCTTTCTCTAATTCTCTCTAAACGGAGCTTTTCATCGTAGGGTCTGCGTATTTGTAGTAGAAACGTAATGGATTCCCATCTGTAGTGTGAAACTGTGAATGGGATGGGCGCAGTGTTTGGGTAGGAAAGGTTTTCCACTTTCCAGTCCGTTCCTAATGGGAGACCGGATCTGCTCCTTACACATGGCGCTTCACACCGACCGCACAGGCACATCCCACCGTGCATTGGAAACATCTTTCGTATCTGTTATTCTTTACGGGAGAATGTTCACAATGCGCATGTGAGGTCGTTGTGAGGCGCCTGTGTGACGAGCAGATTCCTTAATAGGGCTCAAATTCAATGAGTAATTAATTGGGTAGGGATAGAGAACAGGGACCCCAATGGGTTGGGTTCAATACGGGTTGTTTTCACCCTATCCCAATCCGACTTAACAACACTGAGTCAAGCCGGGCTTACCATTTAACCTGATTCAGTGACTTGGGTAAGTGGCAAATCCGCATTGACCCGATACTAATAAGTTGAGGTCCGGTTAGCCTAATCAAGTGTCGATTCGGGTTCAATTTACAAGCGAATCCCTGTAAAACCCGACCCGTTAACATTGAACGATGATTCGTTGCATAAGTATTAACGGAAAGAAACTAAATGTCGAATCTGCCCTCTATTACTCTTTAAATTTTGAAACTCAACCGATGAAAAATTTATCCTCCTCTTGTCATGTATGGCACCACCAACTCAGCAGAAATATTTGGGTGAATCAGGGGTGGGAGCGACCTTTGTCCCTCAATAAGCTTTTCATGGGAAGGGAGAGAGGGACCAGTTGGGGCCATGGATTTAGTTTTTACTCTGCCTGAAGAAAACAGAGGAGAGATGTTTTGGTTGGACGAGGAAAGACGTTTCAGCTCTATCGACATTGTCGGGCTTAGAAGGGAAGCATGATGTGAAGTATTGCTTGCTGACTGTTGAATTCCCTCGACCAAATAGCTTATATTGATTATTAATTAGTTCATCAAAACAATTGTGAGATGCTTTCCGTTGTCACAGACTCATAGGGGTGGAATTACGAGCATTTTCCATTGTCACAGTAGCTTATATTGATTATTGATTAGTGATTAGTTCTTTTAAAAACCTATTTCTTTTCGCTTTCTGTTGTCGCAATGGCTTTCTAATCACTGTAACCTCACCATTAATTAGAGGGTTACTCCACTAGTGCAGGGGGTGGAGTCACGAGCATTTTCTGTTGTAACAGGAGCCAAGGAGGCAAGGTTACTAGTTTTGATTAATTGGAGTACTGGGTTCCATCTATGTAGAAGAGAGCGGCAGAGGTAATTAATTAGACGGAATAAAATTAAATTTCTGTATGACTTCATATTTTACTAGTGCATTTGATACAAGGCATCCGTGCCAAAATCTCCCAAGCATTTACAGATGGATTCAGAAGGTGTCTTCGGCTTGATCGTAGCAGAAGATGGAGAGTTGTTTGGGGCGAGCCAGAGCGAAGATAGGGAACAGTATTCCGCCGACGCCGATGAAGAAGCAGAAGATGGAGAAAATAACAAGTGCACTCGCACGGATCTTGCTGAGCTCAGATTTAATCTTCCCCTTGGATTCTGTAGCTCAGATTCAATGTCTGTTATGTTAAATTATTTCCTGATTCTGAAACCTCTTGAGAATTTGAAGAAGAAAAGAAACAAAATGAACAGTCTCTCTCTCTCTCTACAGTGCGAGAAGACAGAGGAATCGAAGGAGAAGGGGTCTTGTCACCACTCACCACCGCTCTACTTCATCTCAAGGTTGAGGATGATGAACAAGTCACAAAAAGGGTATTTTATGAATTTTAAAAAAACTACATGTGAATGGAGTGTGGTACAAAGCTAACAGTAAGTAGGGGTGGATCCGAGCCGACCTAAGCCAAGCCGAATACTTGACTATTCGAGCTCGGCTCGCTCAAACTGTGTTAGGCTTGAGCTTGGCTCAGTTCAAAGCTTGCAAGTTCGAGCTCGATTCGGCTCAAGCTTGATTGCAAGTCAATTTTTTAAAAAATAAAAATAATATAAAAATATTTTTATTTTATTCATAAAAATTTAAGAATTATAAAAATTATTTATTATTATACATATAAAAAATAAAAAATATACATATAAAAATGTTTTATTTTACATACAAAAAATAAGAATTATAAAAATTATTTAATATTATACATAAAAATAAAAATATTATTATATAAAATAAAAATTTTTTATTATATATATTTATATGTATATGTATGTATGTATGTATGTATGTATGTATGTATGTATATATGTATATAATAAAAAAAATATTTATTTATTATACTAGGCTTGCGAGCCTCACAAGCCGAACTTTACTCGGCTCAATTAGCAAACGAGCCTATATATCAGACTCAAGCTCGGTTTAAATTGAGTCGAACTGAGCTTTTCACGAGCCAAACTTGAATGACTCGTGAGAAGCTTGGCTCATGGCCACCCTTAACCGCAAGAGAGGTTTTAGACAATTGTCAAAAACAGTAGAAATACTTTAAGACAATATGTTAACAATAAGGGTGAATTAGTCAAATAACTAAACCATAAAGTAGTTTAAGAAATTTGCCCTAAAAAATGACATGGACCCTCATAAAAAAAGTAATCAATTCTAAGGATCACTCAATGGGTAATTGTCGGGACCAGCCCTTGTATAATCGTTTACTCAATCACTCATCCTCCCATAGGGACCGGTCTTACTTGCAAGTTGCAAGTGCAAGACATTCTTGTCCAGCTTAATCACTTCAATCCTTTTACCTCAGTATTTTCAGCCCATCAATTACCTGGCCGATTCAACCGTTCCAAATGTCACCCAAGCATTAATTTTGGCTCTCATCCCACTTAAACCTATTATTTGCTAAATGACAAATTTCTTAAAATACCTCTGGTTTAGGAAGTTGATTAATTCTATCCTTACTATTTACATGTTATCTTAAAGTACCTTCAAGTTTTCAAAATAAAACTCAACTGATAAAAAAGTGATTGGTGCTATTTACATGTTTAAAACCAAAAAACCCTAACCCTAAAAAGGCATCCCTCATAACCAAAAAGCTAGTATTAACATCCCACATTTCCTTTACAAACATGCATGCAACAGAGTTGGGTCAGAATTCAAAGCTAAACTGCAGAAGGGGCAGAAGTTGAACACAGGTTCAATAACCCAATCCTTATAAATCGGGTTAGGTTGTGTTGGAATGTATGCAAATGAAGAAAATCTGGGTTGTGTTCTGATTACACGCAAGCCATGTTATAGAGCTAAATTGTAGAAGGGGTAGAAGTTGAGTTCAGGTTCAACAACGCAAGCACAAGAGTCGCAGCGAAGAACATCAGGGAGCGATGGGGGAGAATCTGAGTTCAAATCAATCCGTCACAATGTCCCACAGCACATTTCCGTCGTGTATTGAGACCATCTCTCAATGATAATATCATCATTTTTGAAATTATCATCGAGAGATGTTTCCAATACACGGCAGGGATGTGCTGTAGGATGTTGTGGGGGGCTGATTTGATCTCGAAGAATCCAAGCAGTGAGGTAGGGGGAGAGAGAATTAAGGGAACATGAGCAAGCAGTTTTTGCAGTACATTGTTGGATCTTTACCAGGCCACCACCATACGGGAAAGAAGAACATCTTCAGGACCTTCTCGTATTCCACCAAATCCGCTACTGAGCCGCAATTGATGCAGCGCCCTGCTCCAGCCTTGATCACCTTGCTCACTTCTTGCTCTACGCCTCCAACAAAGAAGAAAAACATCCCCTCGGTTTTCTTTCTCCTGAAAACTGATCAATCGCTTCTCTCTTGTGTCATTAGTTTACCTTTTCTTGGGTTTTGATTTACTTCTTCTCGATTAGAAAATAGGAATGAATCAATTCCTTGGAGTTTCTCGAGTTTTCTGATTCACTAAACCGTATTTCAGAGTTCAGACTTCGGAGCATTGCTCGCACTCACACATTTACATTATTGTGCCCAAACTGAACCATATCTCTAACTTCAACAAGATTGTAATATCTACTGTTTCTCCCTCACTCAAGAGTACAAGTTTAGGTTGCTTCGATCTATATGAGTCATCAACCATGACCATCTAGGAAGAACAAAGTGGATGTGTGCACTGATGAGACACAAGATAGAGATGGAGTAGACTTAATTAGAAGTGAGTTTTCCTTGCCGTTTACAACTTGACAGTATAATAATAAAAGGGTATTTTAAGAATATTTAAAAATATATCAATCACGTGATGTCACATGTGAACAAAGTGTGACGGAAAGTTAACGGCAAGAGAGGTTTTAGACAATTATCAGAAAACTTAAGGATACTTTAAGACAAAATAAAAACAATAAAGATAGAATTAGTCAATTTCCTAAAATATAGGGATACTTTAAATAATTTGCCCTTTGCTAAAAAACATTCGCTTGGTTGAAAACCATATAATCTAGACGGTTCAACCATCGACCTATTTGACCTAACCACTAGGTCACGAGTTGCACACTTAGTGTATGTGCAAACTTTCAAAGACAAAAATGACCCGAGTTACAACTCAAAAACAATTACATGTGAGAGAGAGAGAGAGGAAGAGAGAAAGGGGCACGACTTGACGCATTCAACCCAAACAGTCAAACTAGTGACCTGTCACCTAGAGACAAAAATGATTCAGCCTTCGAATCGGTTTTTAAAACATCGCTTTACCTAAGGCTGCCCATACTCATGATGATAGACTTATTTAACTAAAGACCCCACATGCCCAGTTTACTTTTAATTTCAACTATAAGCTTCTCACTTAAAATATATCAGTCATATTCTCGAGCCAGGGCATGTCATGGTCTAAGTTGGAAGGCTTTTGGAAACTACCCTATATCATTCCTCGTATTAAATTATTCCTTTGCTGTCATTGCATGAATGCATTGCCAACTGGTGTAGATCCTACATGCAAACTGTGTCATA